AATCGGACACATTGAATCATTATATTCCTGCTATTCAGAACAGGTTCTAATCCAGAATGCTTTAATGATGACATTATCGAATTGAGAGTTGAGTGAATCATTACATTCCTACTATTCAGAACTGTTTCTAACCATTGGTTAAATGCTAATCAACTCATTATATTCCTGTTATTCAGAATGGGTTATTATGAAAGATGACATCTTCATCTTCATAGTGAATGACGTGATTCAAGCAAATGAAGCATCTGAGTTGAGCATTTTGCTTGTATGACTTGAGTTGGAAAATCTGAACTTCAGCTGACATTTGCGGTGCGTTAACTAGGAGCTTGCTCTTGTAGGGGAGTGATGATGATGCAGTGCCTGTTGTTGGTGTCTCTTGTCAACACTTGACAACAGTTCATGAAACTGGGCTCATCTCAGTCTGAGTTACCACTGAAAGCCTCCATCATCCAGGTATAATTTCTGTAGGAGTTGTTGAACTCACAGAGCTGGGTGAACCTCTGAAAGGATCTAATGGACTCAGACATGGCGCCGAACAAATCTACGCTGTTTTTCAGCATTCCAAAAGCACAAAGCACAGCTACTGTCTCAATAAAATCCATGTTAGCCATTTAGCAACATAGCTAGAGACACCGGACAGACAGAATCCATGCCTGTGATGTGAATCCACTTCTATTGTGAAGTGAATTTGATGTGCAAATGAAGCGAGCAAACTCAAAATGTTCACGTGTCTATTTACATGCCAGGTCAGGTGTAAACACCAGCATAATGATGACATCAACAAATCGTGAGTTTAGATCATTTTAAGTTGAGTGAACTGATACATTCCTGCAAGTCAAAACTGGTTGTAATTATTCATCTATATAGAATGATTCTGAAGATGACATCATCAAATCAAAAGTTGAGTGAATCGTTACATTCTTGCTATTCAGAATGGGTTCTAATCTAGAATGCTTATAAAAAGATGACATCATCGAATCAAGAGTTAAGTGAATTGAATTGTAGTTGAATTGAGTTGATGGAATTGGATAGTGAATCGTCACGTTCCAGCTATTCAGAACTGGTTCTAATCCAGAATGCTTTAATGATGACATCATCGAATCGAGAGTTAAGTTAATGGAATTGTGATTAAATCGTGAGTTGACTGAATCGGACACATTGAATCATTATATTCCTGCTATTCAGAACAGGTTCTAATCCAGAATGCTTTAATGATGACATTATCGAATTGAGAGTTGAGTGAATCATTACATTCCTACTATTCAGAACTGTTTCTAACCATTGGTTAAATGCTAATCAACTCATTATATTCCTGTTATTCAGAATGGGTTATTATGAAAGTTGACATCTTTGAATCAAGAGTTGAGTGAATCAAATTGAGGTGGCGTGAATGACGTGATTCAAGCAAATGAAGCAGCTGAGTTGAGCATTTTGCTTGTATGACTTGAGTTGGAAAATGTAAACTTCAGCTGACATTTGCGATGCGTTAAGTCAATTTGACGTGCAAATGAAGCGAATTTGACCCGAGAATGTGAGAAAGCGAGTAAACACCATTATAATAATGACATCAATGAATCGTGAGTTCAGATAATCATGAGTTGAGTAAATTGATACATTCCTGCTATGCAGAGCTGGTTCTAATCCAGAATTCTTCTGAAGATGACATCATCGGATTAAGAGTTGAATGAATCGAACTGTTGTCTGATCATAAGTTGACCAAATGGGACACAGCAAATTGTTACATTCCTGCTGTTTAGAACTGGCTCTAATCACTTATCTATATAGAATGATTCTAAAGATGACATCATCAAATCAAGAGTTAAGAGAATCATTACACTCCTGCTGTTGTATTCAGGAAATCGTTACATCATTGATATTCAGAACGGGCTCGTATCCAGAATGCTTTTAATAATGACATCATCGAATCTAGAGGTGAGGAAATTTGAGATGTTATAGTATTCAGTGAATTGTTACATCTCTACTATTCAGAACTGAATATCAGTGTTCTGACCTGGTGTTTGGTGATGAGCGGCGGCTCACAGATGAACTCCTCCTCCTGAATGGACCAGAAGTATTTGTCCATCAGGTGTTCAGGAGAAGCACAAGTCTCCAGATCATCCTCTCGGGTCAGCCGTCTCAGCCATAGCAGCTCGCAGTTACAGTGCAGAGGGTTTCCCCCGAAGCTGACCGTCAGCCTGGACGAGCTGGAAGTCTTGGGCTCGGACAGAACCTGCGCGTGCTGGAAAAGCGTGTCCGGAGGGAGAGTCTGCAGCCTGTTGGAGGTCATGTCCAGACGCACTAGTTTGGTGAGCAGCGTGAACGTGCCCACACCGATGTGGTCGATCAGGTTGTGGTCCAAGGTCAGCGTGTTTATGTTAGTCATTCGAGCGATGGCTTCCCATGGTAAAGTCCGCAGGTTGTTGTAGGATAAATCCAGATCCTCGATGGTGGCGACGAACTCGTCAAAGGAGGACTCTTCAATGTGGTGGATCTGGTTGTTTCCTAAAATCAGGTGTCTGAGGTTCATCAGGCCTTCATTGGAAAGAAGATAACGTTTGAAAATTAGCACTATAATGATCGACTGGAAATAAATTAAATAAAAAGTGCACAAAATTAAAGTAAAAAACAAACAAACTACTTTGTAAAGTTAAGAATATTAACAAAAGTAATAAAGATAAAAACAACTGAATAAACAAACAAACAACCAGCACATACATACATATACATACATAAAATAATGGATAAAAACTGACACTAACAAAAATAAATAAATTTTCATGAAAAATTATTATAATAATAAATTTGAAAATGAAACATCCACTAAAATTAAAGTGAAAAGAAAAAAAAAATCTACTTTATTAATTTATACTACTATTAATACTGCTACTAAAAATAAAAATAAATAAATAAATAAATAAATAAATAAATAAATAAATAAATAAATAAATGCCCATATTTGAATACTTTTATATAGTTAATTTTACAACAATTAAATCAAAACTGAAACAGAAACAAATATACAGTAAAAACTGAATCAAATTATAGAACTTTGATTGGTTTCTGAGAAACAGAAGCAAACTCTAAAATAAATCATGAATTGGTAAAGCAAAACTATCAAAGAAAAATGCAAATAAATATTAATAAAATTAGAATTAAGACAAATTTTTTATAAAAAAACAAAAACAAAAATTATACACACCCACCACTTTATTAGGTACACTTGTCCAACTGCTTCGTTAATGCCAGGTTCTAATCAGCCAATCACATGTCAGCAAATCAATGTATATAGGCTATAGGGATAGTAAGGAGTTTGATGCAATTTTATTAGTAAAACCTTTAGACCTCTGTTTTTGTGTTAAGTAGTTAGGGTAGTGAATTGTACTTTCTTTTCTTTTTGATCAGGTAAGTTAGAGATTTAACATAAAGGAATTTTTGTTTTGTTATGTTGGCCTTGTCAGTTATGTGACCTTCAAACCTCAATAAATCTTATACTTCATATTCGTTGTCTTGTCTTTCATGTTGTTCACCATCCCTAGACGGTGCGTAACGAACATTAAAAAGGAATTCACAATTAAACTGCAATAGCATTTTGTAGTATTTAAAAGTTAAAAATAAAACGATTGGAACAAAAAAAAAAAACCCGAAACTGTCAAATATAAATAAGAATAAATAAAAATATATAATTATTTTAATTTAAGTAAACACAAAAGCCCGTAACAAAATGGCTAAAACTACACATCAGGCACACGTCATAAGACATTAATATTAGGTTAGATTTAGGTTGTGACGTCAGGTGACCACAATTCAATGTCTAGCCAGCGTCAAAAGACAATGCTACTTTAACATCCAACAATGACGTCAAATGACGTTGATATCTGGTTGATTTTAGGTTGTGTTGGAAAATTAGCTTCAAATACTGACACTTATTCATCATGTATGACAAACAAAATCCAACGTCTGATAGACATCATATTGATAACATCCACACAACGTCAAGCTTTAACCTCATTTGACCTTGATATTTTAATTTTAGGTTGGACGTTGGACATCGACATCAGTCTGACGTTGAGTTCTGACGTCAACCCGATTTTTATTTCCAAACAAAATGCAACGTCCCCATGATGTTGGGGTACAACGTCAATCTGACGTCATGTTGATGTCTTGTGCCTGCCGGGTAGCTGAACATAAGCATTCATTCATTAATTCATTTTCTTTCAGCTTAGTCCCTTTATTCATCAGGGGATGAAACGGCGGAATGAATCGGCAACTTATCCGGCATATGTTTTACGTAGTGGATGCCCTTCCAGCTGCAAGCCAGTACTGGGATAGACCCATACACACTCATACACTACAGCTAATTTAGTTAATTTAATTCACCTATACCCCAAGTGTTTGGACTTGTGTGGTAAACCGAAGCACCCGGAGGAAACGCCAACACGGGGAGAACATGCAAACTCCACACAAAAATGCCACCTGACCCAGGCGGGACTCGAACCAGAAACCTTCTTGCTATGAGGCGACAGTGCTATCCACTAAGCCACCATGCTGTTTCCAAAACATAAGCATTAGAACCAATTTTTAAAATAATTAAAAGAGAGAGAAAAAACAAGAGAACGAACCTTTGAGTTGGTTGCTGTTGATGACGCTGAGGCGGTTCCCGTCCATGTGCAAAGCGCGCAGGGATTTGAGGCCCATGAAAGCGTGCGGCGCGATCTGGCTGATGGTGTTTCTGGAGAGCGTCAGATGCACTAAACTGGTCATGTTCAGAAAGTCTTTCCTGCGCACGGCCGTGATGAAGTTGTCTGTGAGCCGCAGCTCCACGGTTTTGCGGTCGACGGTGGGCGGCACGAACAGCAGACCGGTTTTGGCGCACAGGAGGGTGAGTGTGGGGGAGATGGTCTGACAGATGCAGCGGCCTGGACAGAGCTGAGCCTTCGCCAGCGCACCAAACACCAGCACACAAAACACCAGCCTCTCCATGACCAATCAGCTACCGGCACCTGAAAACACACACACACACACCGAGATGTCAGGATTCCAGCTTCACATATTTAACATGTCATACCTTACATAACAAATTTTACTTTTGCTAACTAACTAACTAACTAACTGACTAACTAACTAACTAACTAACTAACTAATTAACTAACTGACTGACTGACTGACTGACTAACTAACTAACTGACTAACTGACTGACTAACAAACTAACTAATCATCTAAATAACTAACTAACTAACTAACTGACTGACTTACTGACTGACTAACTAACTAACTGACTAACTAACTGACTAACTAACTAACTAACTAACTAACTGACTGACTAACTGACTAACTAACTAACTGACTAACTAACTGACTAACTAACTAACTGACTAACTAACTAACTGACTAACTGACTGATTAACTAACTAACTAACTAACTAACTAACTAACTAACTGACTGACTGACTGACTAACTAACTGACTAACTGACTAACTGACTGACTAACTAACTACCTCACTAACTGACTAACTGACTAACTAACTAACTAACTAACTAACTAACTAACTGACTGACTGACTGACTGACTGACTGACTGACTGACTGACTGACTGACTGACTGACTGACTGACTAACTAACTAACTAACTAACTGACTGACTAACTGACTAACTAACTAACTGACTAACTAACTGACTAACTAACTAACTGACTAACTAACTAACTGACTAACTGACTGATTAACTAACTAACTAACTAACTAACTAACTAACTAACTAACTAACTAACTAACTAACTGACTGACTGACTAACTAACTGACTAACTGACTAACTGACTGACTAACTAACTACCTCACTAACTGACTAACTGACTAACTAACTAACTAACTAACTGACTGACTGACTGACTGACTGACTGACTGACTGACTGACTGACTGACTGACTAACTAACTAACTAACTAACTGACTGACTGACTGACTAACTGATAGACTGACTGACTGACTGACTGACTAACTAACTAACTAACTAACTAACAAAGTAAATGAATGAATAAATGAATACATACATACATACATACATACATACATACATACATACTAGGGATGCCACGGTTCTCAATATAATATTGAACCGTACGGTACGACCTCCATAGTTCAATTTGCGCTTGTGAATTGCGGTTTTCTCTGTTTTGCATTTAAATAATTTATGTGCATTTTATATTCCCCTGAATTGATTGTGTGTGTCTGTAAGTCCATGAGCTGAGATGAGGAAACTCCTCCCCGTGAATAAATATCCAATCACTATGCTCTAAAGTTAGGGGGCGCTTGACCATCATTCCACACTTTAACATGGCGAGCGGCGGTGAAGTGAAACCGAGGCAACAGTACCAGGAAGCGCCGGTGAAGTGAGGCAACAGTATGGGAAGCGCCGACGTCTTTCAAATCTGCAGTGTGAGAACATTTCGATTTGCCGGTAAGTATAATGCCAATAAAAGAAAAAACGGTGAACAAAAAACAAGTGTGTGCAAGCATTGATTTAAACGTATAACCATGACTGCTCATCTGCAGCGCCATCACCCAGCAATATCACTGTCTGAAGGCAGGACAGCAGAGTTTAAAGTCCTCCAAATAGCAACAATCCCTCGCTGAATCTTTCCAGCAAACAAACCCAACTGGTTCTGAGAGACACATGAAATAACAAAGGCAGTGCGGGTGTTTATTGCTGAAGATTTGCATCCGTTTTTGGTGATTGGAGATGTGGGCGTTTGTCATCTTATAAAAGCACTCGATCCACGTTACAGACTACAGCCTCACATTTATTCAGCACCGAGATAATGAAGATGGTTTATTTATGTTTACTGAAGTACAAATATGTTTATTCGAAATGGTCAATTCATCTTTATTAACTCCACATGTGTGTTTCTTTTCAGAGTGGAGGATTTCATGTGTTCCCCAGTTTGTACATGGCCTACCAGCAGCTGTGAGATTTCAGTGTTCATTTTTTTATACAATACACTAGGAACTAGAGTACTTTTCTTGGCTTTAAAGTAAAACAAAATGAGTATTGCATTAAATCGTTTTTATTTTATTCTCCTTAACCACTCACTGTTCCTATTGCCTATAGAATAAAAAAAAAAACATGTCAAGCCATGAGAACCGAACCGAAAACCGTGTTAAAAAACCGAAGTATGTATTGAACCGTGGGCTAACTGTATTGTTGCATCCCTAACACACACACACACACACACACACACACACACACACACTTGATTCATTTTATTTGGAATGACTATTGCTAATTAAAGCAACACAGCATCCAAATAATCGTAAGAAGCCCATGATGTTTCACAGTACAAGCAGCATACAACCATTGATGATCTTTTGCGTGGCACTATTAAACACTCAATCCGTTCTGCGCGTAGTATTAAGTAAATGGATTAATGATAGCGATGGCATCGTCTTCTCCACACATGAAGACTGCCTATTGTTGCAGATACAGAACAATACTTTGCAATTTGTTTAGAGTCTTTTTTACTGAGTCCGGCTATTTGTAGTCCCCTCACACACAGTTTATGAACGTGCCCTAGGCTACCGTAAATTAAAGCCACCAACTTTGTGTTGAAGCCACACACTTTTAGGGCATTCGTTAATGGTTGATATTTCAGCATTGTTTCTGAATAGCACAGATACATGTATGCGTCAAAACACAAACACACACACACACACACACACACACACACACACACACACGCACACACACACACACACACACACACACACACACACACACACACACACACAGTTAAAGTCAAAATTATTCTCCCTCCTGTGAATTGTTTTTCCTTGGTCAGATATTTCTCAAATGATGTTGAAGAAATTCAGGAATTTTTCACAGTATTTCCCATAATATTTTTTCTTCTGGAGAAAGTCTTATTTGTTTTATTACGGCTAGAATAAAAGCAGTTTATTCTATCTCATTTTACAGTTACTGCAAACTGTATTGTCCCTTTTGGGGCGATTTGTTCTGCAGCGAAATAGTTCTACAACACATACCACACACTTAAGACAAACATTAAACAACAATAATAGTACTAAAAAACAGCAACTCATTCTTCCAGTTAAAATTCAGCATATTGAATGCACAAGGAAAACAAATGAAAGTTTAAATGTGTTGGTCCTTGCAAAAGGGAGCCTATACCGAGATCCAGAGGGAAGGATTTAAAATAATTCAAAAGGAGGATGGGAAATATCAGATGTAATCTGATGGGCTTTCTTTAACATTCAGCTTTCATACAAATAGGATGATCTGGCACTTTGACACCGAGTACTTAGACATCGAGTTTTTCTGTTTTACCTTTAAAGAGGCAAACCAACAAATCAATAAAAGGTTAAAATAAATTCTCTATTGGCCCAATTGCACTGAGTGGTATGGTTTGGTTTAGTACACTTTTATGGCGGTACCGTACCACTTTTTGAGACCACTAGCACAACACAAGGGTACCAAAAGGCGGAGCAAGAGGCGCAGCTGAACGCTAATGGTTTACTGAGATGCATCAGTCACTCGTGCAACAAGCTCCTGGCTTGAAAACAATGAAAACAAAAGAACTGCCATTTTTAAATACACACATCGTAATAATATATACATATAATAGCAAGTCATGGTCAACCCGAGCTTAAACAAACCTTGTCTTCGACATGATGAACAAGAGCATCTACCCTCGTAGTTGTTTACAAGGCTGTCTAAAGAGAAAGCGGTTTCGCTTTCTCCAGAGAGCTCGCCGCACGTCTATGTTTGAAATGAGGAACTTCTTGAGCTGATGATAATAATGTGCGCGTGATTATTGAAGTGCTTCTGACATCTGATCCTTTCAGAAACGGACAAACGTGAGAGTGATGCATGAAAAAACAGAAGAGAAGCAGAGAAAAAAAAATAAGGGGGCAAATGATTCTTCAGCAAACATGAACAAACTGCCATGTTTAACTATTATCATCACCTTTTGGACTATTATGAACTCTGGATGACGGAATTGCTCTCTAACAGAGGCTTCATGTGCTGCTGAAGATTACACACACGGATGAGAGGCTTACACTGACTGTGGGCTATATTTTGTGTTGTTTTTGAACCCAAATAAGGATTAAATGTATGTTGTTTGTAGTTCTTCTGTAATTGGTAACATATCAGAGACTGTAAGGGTTTGTATGTATTTATATGTTTATTTATTTATTTTATATAACTGCAGACGTTACAGTAGGCTATTTCACACTGTCATTGATCTGCAGTTATAATCAAATCCTGTTCATAGAAAGGTTAGTAATTAACATTTATGCAGTGTTTATGTGTACTAAGCATCTGTTTTTGAGAAGTGCTTCTCATATGATATGTGAGCGACCCGTTCAGCTTTACTGTAGACATTTTTTTGAGTGAGCACGACGTCGACTGAAACTTTCTGTTAGAGATCTGTGCGGGGCTAAATTTTGAATCCCTCTCACACCCACTCGATCCCGCTTATATTCAGCATTTCCTGTCCCACTGCCCGACCCATTTTCCACCCGCTGCGCCCGTTCCCAAAAGGGGGAGGGGTGGGGGAGTGGATGGGTCGGGTGGGGCAAAAACCACCCAACAACAACAAGCTGTCTGTATAAACACACACATATACAGTACGAAGCTCTCGCTCTTAATCAGACAGATACACACACACATAGACACCAACAAATAAGCTAAACAAAGCATCACGCTCTCTCATTCACACACATACATATGAGTGCTCGCTCGCTCGGGAGTCTGGAACAACTTTGTTAGACCGCCCGCTCCTGTTCAATTTACACCAGAGTTAGCGACCGCCCCCGCGCTTTATTCGGAAATTTATTCCAGCGGCACAAGAAATCTAGTCGGGTCCCATGGTACAGCCATGGAAATGCAGACTTCTACTTTCTGTCGTACACCACGCCCACCAAAACCAGCACTGGTACCCTTTTGGCAGTGGAAACAAAAGCCTGATAAAGGTGACCCTTAATGA